TGTGCCCTCAATGCACACTTTGCAGAGCCCACACACCAATGCAAGCTATACAGCAAACATCTTCTCAACAGTCAAAGCAGGGTTACGTTATTGCCCGTCATGCACATTTACCCTAAAGGCACGGGGGTGGTGGTGCCAACGGCTTGTATATATATATATATATATACGTATATATAGCTGTGAGCAGCGATGAAGGGCCAAAGCCGGCGGCACCACCAGTTATATATTTATTTTCAACTATATTTATATATATTTATTTAAGTTAGAAAGATAGTTGATGAATGATGTTGAATTTGTAGTTCATGTTAGCAGGTGATAAGCCAGACCAAATTGCATGAATCAAATTATATTTGACCCCTTTTTTAGCCAAACACACCCATTATTAGCAACGGCCCGCAAAAGGGTAAACAGAGATTGTGCCTGTAAAGATGGCGCCCACGTCCCATAATTCAAAACTGCGTGACGTACCTTCACATTCCCTTAAGATATGGCCAGACGTGTAGTCTACCAATAACGCCCACAAGAGACTTCACAGTACAGAGACTAGCGGCATAAAAACGACAACGGCAGGTTTCAATAACAATATAAGCCTATGGAGGAGTGAGACAGCTCTCAGCAGGGTTTCCCATACATTCATTAATTTGTGGCGGCCCGCCACAATATCAACGCTGAGTGCCACACATTGATTTTCAGGATTTTTTATTTTATTGTACAGCTGCGCGCTCCTTCCCTCCCACTCTCACAAACTGACAACGGTTCCGGTTTGTACACAGTGCATCACACACCTGCAAGAAGTGTCACGCATTGATCGTCACAGTCACTCGTTTCGGTCTTTTGTATTTATCTTGTGTAAAAACTGTTTATAATATATTTAATATGCCGCAGCACCCAAAATGTCTCTGGCCGCGCTGCAGGAATCAAGCGCGTCTCCCCTGGAGTTCTGCAGTCGAGCCTGCCACTTATCAGCCAATCAAAAAAAGAAGAAAAATGCTATACAATAGCCAATCAGAAAATAGTATTATTGTATCTGGGTAAGATTTAATGCAACAACCAAAAAAATAGATAAATAATAATAATTCAATTTCACAGCACTAATGTTTAGAGTATATAGACAAGAACCATACAACCGCCCCAACCCCAACCCCCAAGGTACCAAAACACCACACCACCACGAACAGAATCTAATTCTGTGGGAAACACTGCTCAGATTTAATCAAAAATATCTTAATTTGTGTTCCGAAGATGAACAAAACTCTTACGGGGTTAGAACAACATGACATGAGGGTGAGTAATTACTAATAGAACTTTAATTTTTGGGTGAACTATCCTTTTAAGAGTCAGAACTATCAGTGTTTTTTAGGCAACCTGTAACCCGTGTTTTTCCAACCTTATACCCAGAGTGCACTGGAACGGCAGTCAAACCCGTGACTTCACACCCGTGAACTCATACTAGATCGATGTACTCCCAGTTACGAGCTCTGACATTACAAAGCCTGTGAAACCATACAAAACAACAATGGCAGCCCCTAAGGATGCAGTGTTTCTGCAGGCGGTACACGGTGAGCATACACTTTAGGACAACATAACATTGCAGTCAAATTAATAATAATAATGATAATAATACAAACACAATTATGTATTACAATGTTATGTGTCTTTAACAATAGTATGTCGTGAAAGTGTATTTCCGCATGGAAATGTTAAGGTGACGTAAATCTGAAGATAACAGCATTGACAGCATTATCATGCTTATGTGCTCAGGTATTTTGGCGTGACTGGCTGCCCTGGAATGCTAAAAAGTTGTGAGTCCTGGTTTTAAGTCGTGATTTACGCGCTCAAAAACCTGCCTGGAACGCTTCATAACTTTGCTGGGTCATGAAATAAGGCACAACTCATGCAATTCAGCTCACAAGTAGGGCAAATGTCAGTCAAGCTCCTAGGAGGATCCTTGTCGTTCCATTTTAAACACCACTGGTTCCACCCGAGAGCCTATGTGGCACTGCACGCAGTATCAAATTAATATTTAGCATGTTTACATAATGCTCATGGTGTTGCAGACATAAACATCCTCCCTCTAATGAGAACAGATAATGGCTTAGTTACTGTGACAACTGAAATTTACAGTTATGTGGTGTGGCTGTGTCTGGGTAGACATTTTGCCATTAATGCAATAATTCCTGTGATAGTCACACCTTGCATGATGCTGAATTGGAATCAGAGCTAGAATGGTAGCAAGATTTAAAGATGTAAATTTTCCTATACAGCACATAAAATCATAAAATGTACACACAGTCTGCATTCCCCCCAGTGTATTTTATTTATCATTTCAATCACTCTTAATTCTATTCCCTTACATTCAAATTGCAATTCTGCATCCTGTTGGTACATCAATTCAAATTCAGAAATTTAATTGGAATTTAACTGGCATTCTCAATTTAGTTTTGAATGGTGGGTGGATTTGACGTTGTACTTTGTCATGTGTGCTAAAAGTTCAAAGACTTGACCGTTATATATACATTTTTTTTTTCTGAAAGAGAAAGGTTGAACTTTAAAAAAGCAAAGCCAAAGCTGAGACCTTAAAGCTTGAAATAAATTGTGCTGACCTTTTAAAGCTGAGATAAAAACCCCAACTTAGCAACAAGGCCAGTCTAGCGCTTGACCTCTGACAGAGCTATGTGAACTTCCTGTCATACTGTAGCCTGATTAATTTCCTTTTCAATATGTCAGTCAGAAAAGAAGCAAAACTGTTAGATGTATTCATTTCAGAGCTCCATATACGCCACAGGATTGTACGTAGCTAATCGGAAAAAAACAACGTCAGGTACAACTGTTTTTTGACAGTTTTTCTGTTCTAAAACTAGCAAGGCGTTAGGGAAGTCAAGATCTGGGGGTTGACTCAAACACACAGCTTAGCCAAGAATGGTTTTGCTTGACTGTGGATAATGGCTTCACATAACTTTTCTTTCATAATTCGTCAGAGCCATGCTGTGCCAATCTTAAACAGAAAGTGAGACTTAAGAACCAGACAGCCTGGCAGAAACACGGTCCTGATGCAACTGCCTATTGAAACCCACAAAAACTTAGCGACCTCATGTTACTGTCATTTTCCCAGAAGAATGAGAATTTTTACTAAGGCCTGGTTTCACAGACAGGGCTTAGATTAAGCCGGGATTAGGCCTTAGTTCAACTGTGTCAGTGAAAGTTGCTTTTGGTTAAAACAGTTCAAAAATGCATTTTAGTCTGGGTCTAGGCTTAAGCCTTGTCTGTAAAACCGAGGGAAAGTGCTTAAAAAGCTCCAACTGATTCTCTCTCTCTCTCTCTCTCTCTCTCTCTCTCTCTCTCTCTCTCTCTCTCTCTCTCTCTCTTACAGAAGACATACACACACACACACACACACACATTTTGAGATAATTATTTCACAGTGAGGTCGAAGGAATCTAAAGAATCTGCACCCTCCTTCAACAGTCACATGACATTTGTTAGCCTCACAATGAATGCCATTTTTTTAAATCGACTGGTAAAGTTTTGCTTTGAGTTTTTGTCTTATTATGACTTTTTTTTAGTTCACCAATTAAGCATGGGTTGTTACACCTCTATAATCTGTGATACATTTTTATACAACGAAAAACATGACTTCAAGAATGTCTCAAAACACTGATTAAAATAAAATCAATATATAATGCAATTAAATATTTTGTAAATGAAAACTAATTACAGAAAATGTCAAAAATATTAATCAATGTGACTTGCTAGACCTTGCACTGCTTGAAAGAAAGAGCAATAAATGAATGAAATATCAGTAAATGTTTTTCTAGAAGAAGGCAACAAAGGGTTTTCATGCACCTTGCAAATTATTGTTTTTTTCTTCCTTTTTTTAAACAAACAGTCAAATCATTGCATATTATTAACAACAATGTTATGTTTTAAGTTATAGTTGGCTTATATAATGATATTGATTTCTCTAACCGTTGGTTTTGCCATTTGATAAAGACCCAGATGTCTCTTTGAGTTAGTCATCTATAAGTCAAGTTACAGAAAATGCATAATGCCTTTAGCCTAGAGTCCACATTTAGCAGTTTGGAGCAGGGCAATCAATGGGATGGCATGTGAGTATAATTGAAAAAAGAAACAGCTCCCTCCAACGGAGGTATAAGGTGCATCATCAAGGTAATCAGATGGATTCCCATTAACTTCTATTATCTATTATTTCTTAGATGCACATTCACAAACAGTGGTGGTACGAAGATGTTTATGCATCATTTATCGACTAGTTTAATATTTCATAAGTGACACAAACGCAAGATTCCCCATCCCTCTGGCTCTGAGAATAGCTATGTGATAAGCAGATGCTATTACGGTCTTGAGTGGAAAAACAAACTGCATAGGCTATATCCGATTAACTAGTTTAAGTCTGATAAGCAATACCTCTTAGATGTGTATGCTTTTTTATTTTGATTAATGATTATTTTGATTATTTCAAAGCAGCCTACGGTAGCCTAAATTCTACATTTTAAAACCAAATGTCCCAGCTGCAACAGTTTTTCTGTCAAAAACATTTTAATAGGCTAATTTAAAGAATTCCACTGAACCTTTTGTGGGAACTTTCAATCGATGTTTAAGGTTCTTCATGTAACATACTATTCAAATGTAAGACCTTCAGTCGAACTGGTTAAAAATAAACTGAAGAAACTTTTCTGACGTCAGTGGCTCTGAACACTGAAGGGAAATGAAAATGGGAACAAAAGAATTTCCCTGTGCATGAAATCTTTGTTTATTGCAACCGAGAGGTAGGCTACCTTGAACGAGGGGAAATTATGTTTAAAGCTTGTGATTGGTCATTTAAACTTACATTTTCCTCACATAACCTCTTTTATAGCCTATACTTTCCACACTGGTGAACTGTTAGAGGCGCTGACCTATTAAACTCCTCGTTGTGGGTGATAGTCTTGAAGAATTATCTAACGTTATCCACATCTCAACAATGCTGTGTGTGTACTTACAGTGACACCAGCCCAGATGACAGCACCAGTGCAGCTTGAAACACTTCCCGTGGCTGTGTGTGGCGCAGATGGATAGTCCATCACAGGGCAGAAAGTCCGGGCGCCCTGCGCAACTCCTCGCTAGAGCCTGAGCTTCATCTAACTTCTCACTCTTCTGTCCGCCCGAAGCGGCCATCGCGCACTGATCACACCGACAAAGCCCTCATCAGCGCCGGGAGCTCGGGAAGATATGCGCTCAGCGTCGACTGTTTAGCAATTAAAAGAAAAGAACAAAAGTGGAGAAACGCCCAAGACTTCGGCTATCCAAGTTCCACTTCTAGCGTTTATACAAAAAAAAAAAAAAACTCGTTTTCAGTCATTTCGCCTCTAAAAAAAAATAATGAGGCATATAAGATGCCGTCGTCTATGTGTCCGTACAAACAGCTTCAGATCAGCGCGGAGACTGATGCTTATTCTCGAAGACGGATTTTCCTTTTCGCTCTTGTGCCGTCGATCCCGCCTCTCTCTCTCTCTCTCTCTCTCTCTCTCTCTCTCTCTCTCTCTCTCTCTCTCTCTCTCTCTCTGTTATGAATTCATGCGTGATTTCCCTCGTCTTGACAGTAGGCTGTGAAAGAATCATCTTCTACAAAAGAAAATGCCTTGTCGTAAGGCGACCGAAGAATCAAATATTAGAGTTAATCGGACCCTTTCAGTTTTCAGAGGAACTTATAAGATGTAACCAATGATTTCCTTCAAGAACTTGAGCAGCTAATAATTTATCTAACAGCATTTTGAAGCACTTGAAGTTGCTGTTGATGAGGTTAAAAAGGGGTTTTGACCATCAATGAAGTAGCCTACCATGCTTCATGAACCCAGCTGTGTTTTCAAGCAACCAGCCTTATTTTTGATGCAGGCCTGAAAAGTAGGCTATGTAGGCCTATTCAAACCCGGAGCTGAACTGGTCTGTCAGTCAGAGTACATTTTTGTATGTCATTCATTTTCTTGTCATGAACTTTTTTTTTAAAAGAATTTTAAAAGGGTTTCAGACATTGGCTGTAGGGATGAAAATATCCTGCTTTCAAGGAGCACCTAAAAACAGTCATACAGAGGGCATCCTCAGTGAAAGTTTTCACTTTCAAAGCGACTCTTGTCAGCAGTTTTCCGGAGAACCTCACTCAACATTTTCCTCCTTCAAAGCCACTGTTGACAGCACAGTGACTGACTTCATGTTACAGTAGATCACCTCAGGAGAAAATGGCTGTGTTTTTTAATTTCTCATAGGTCTAGTGTGTGTGTAACAATACGGTCAAATGTACATTATGATGGGTCCTGGACTGAAGTTGCTTGCAGGTAATCTTTAATCAAAGGATGAAAGTAAAACATTTCATGAATTGAGAATTTCCTTATGGCATGAAAGGTACAAACCATAGAATATCATCAAAAGAGCAATTGATTTTTTTTTTCTTTAAAGTCTATGCCTTTGGCACAATAGTTCTACTCAATTTATGATAACTTGATTTATGTTATATTGTTGCTGTTGCTGTCTCTGTCTCTCTCTCTCTCTCTCTCTCTCTCTCTCTCTCTCTCTCTCTCTTCTCTTCTCTTCTCTCTCTGTGTGTGTATGTGTGTGTAGGTCTGTGTTTTATGACAAAGGGTTTATTGGGGAAAAACCTAGAAGGTGTCGATTTGAGACATGTATGAAGTGTTTTGGTTAGAATTTTGAATGTGAAATAAACTGCTGTGCCAAGTTGAAAGTTGGATAGAAGAACTGTGGGAAGAGTTTTGAATAAAAGACCTCTCCTAGCGATTGCAAAAAAAAAAAAAAAAATGAAACTTGAAATTCATTGTAGGCTATTACTCCCTTTGTCAGAGTAAAAAAATATATATATAATTAAAGGGGCGGGGGTTGATTGCGATTTCACTTTTTGGATTTTAAATAGCGTGTAATGTTGCTGTTGGTGCATGAACAGTATCTGCAAAGTTGCAGTGCTGAAAGTTCAGTCTAAGCAGAGATATCGTCTTTTAAAAATCAGGAAGTATTTTGCCTACAAAAACGACTCGATTGGGACCACAGCTGGGTTTTAGACGTCAATAACCCACACATTTGCATCAACCCCTCCCTCCAGAAAATGCAAAAAAGGGCATGCGCATATTTCTGTGGCTCATCGAGTGTGTTGTGTTCACCCAGTTATCAGGTCTTCTGTGTTCGGGCTTCCCACGGACGCTGTACTTCGTCAAAAATGGATACAATTTATGTTTGATTATGTTCCTGAAAATGACGATCGTTTCTGAGGGAGTGGTTTCATTGAATCAGGAAGTCAAGCGGTCGTTCAGGGTCAGAGGGGAGCGCGGCTTGCAAAAAATTTTGGCATTGGTGGGGGTGGAGTAAGTATGTATGTGTGTATACAGTATATACTGTATATATATATACTGTATATATATATATATATATATATATACTGTATATATATATATATATATATATATACTGTATATATATATACTGTATATATATATATACTGTATATATATATATATATATATATATATATATATACTGTCACAAGCTAAGCTTGGTGACTGGAAATGAATTACATGCATGACTTGACACACATGCACACATCACTACCTGATTATGTCGGCATTTACCATCTTTTAAATCAAAATGATGTGTAATTGTTTTCCCTATTTGAAATGAGTTTGATATATATATATTTGTCTGTTTGCTCCAATATGCTGTTCAATTCAATTATTTCTTTTTAGAAGAAAACTTCACAACCAGTTGATTGCAGTCAGAATTACCTTTTATTTCTTGTTGTAAGAATTCCCCCCAAACCTTTGTTTTGGCTGTTGGCCTTCTAGACTGCTGCACGATCAAACAGTTTGTCTGATTCAAACAGGTTTTTGTAGCATTAGCATAGCCCTAATTGGACTGATCCATTTGTAGTTTTGTCTGGGGGAGGGGACTTGCAGCTAAATATATTTTTCTTTTTCATTTCCTTTTTTTTTGTTATGTTTTCTTGTGTGTGTGTGGTTAAGTACCCATGGGTTTACACAGTGTTATTTGTGAATGTTTAATGTTTCATTATTTTTATTTGTGTGTGTAATGTATTGTGTGTTTGATCCTTGCTTGTTCATTTGGTACAGGCCAAGGGTGGAGTTAGCCCATATAAATATGGAGCTATAGAGCTTGTCAGGGCAGTCTTAGTTTGTTAAGGCCAAAGGAAAGACCCTGTTGCAAATTGGACCAAATTATTTGGTGTAGCCATTTGTTCTGTTCTGTTCTGTTCTGTTCTGTTCTGTTCTGTTCTGTTCTGTTTGTCTTCCAGTATGTGACCATGTACATTTTTTCCCCATTTTTGTCATGATAAATCACCTTTTTGGGATCCACTGAACCTTTTTCCAGCTTATTTAAAATGATCCTTTAAGACCACAGGGGCCATCCATTACAGTTGTTGTCAGAAGTGAGACAGCCCTGGTTTTTTTTTTTTTTGTTCATTGAGATGCCACCAAAAGCTGAGGGGTCAGCCTGAGGAGGGCACTGAGCAGGGGCTGGGACAAGGTGCCACTGGAGATTCATTCCCTGCTGAAGTTACTTCATCTGGAGGAGAAGGAGCCATCACCAGTCTTGCCCGTATGTTCGAGAGTTTTATGGAATATCAGAAAAACCGTGATGACAGACAAGAGAGAGAGACGGCCCGTCGGGAACAACAATACAAAGTCCTCCAGCATCAGGTCAGCCAGATACAGCTGGACTTTGAACACACCAGGGCTGAGGTATCTACTATGGGGAAACCAGCTCGAGTGATGGATCAAGAGCTACGTATGGCAAGGCTGGGAGATAACGATGACATCGAGCATTACCTCAATACCTTTAAAAGACTGGCAGAAGTCTTCAAATGGCCAAAGGAGGACTGGGCTATACGCCTTATCCCGTTGTTGACTGGTAAAGCATGGAGTGCTTTTGTCTCCATGGACCCAATGTTGACACAGGACTATATTGCAGTTAAATAGGCTATCTTGTCTAAATATGAAATAAACTCTGAAACCTATAGACTGAGATTCCGAGGACGTGAGACAGCAGTAGAGGAAACTCCCCGAGAAATTTACGTTCGTCTCAAGGATCTATCCTATAAATGGGTAAAGTTTGACAGTTGCAACAAGGAGGACATTATGGAGACTCTGGTGTTGGAGCAATACTTGCGAGTGCTCTACCCAGAAATAAGGACTTGGGTCAAAGAAAGGAATCCTTCCACTGCTGAGGGAGCTGCTATGCTTGTTGAGGCCTACATTGCTGCACGAAAAGGCCCTGGCAACTATCGGTATGCGGGCGTCTTACATCCTGGCAGGGGTAAGTCTGAAGGACCTGGGGTTGGTTCAAACTCTTATACCACTAGCCAAGCCAAGATTCTGAAGCCCTTCCACAATAAGACTTATACTGCTAAGGCCCCACCATTAGGGCAACATTCTGACAAGGCTGATGTTGTGTGTTTTAATTGTGGAGAACGTGGTCACACTAGCCCCTTTTGCCCCTTGAAAAAGCCAAAAACCACCAATCTATGCTGGGTGCCCCATCCTAACCAATCCCCCACCCATGGCCATAATCTCGTAGCCTGGTTCTACCAGACTCTCGTACATACATTTCATTTGTACAGAGAGTCTGGCCTCCCTCAATTGAGAAACGTTTCCTTCCTTGTAGGTGGGTTCACTATTAAAGTTCAAATCTATTGGATCTGCCCAGAGTCACTCACGATCTGCCATAGCCAATCGCTAATGTGTGGTCGTGAGTGACGTATGTCATGCGCCGAAACGGCTGGAAACAACCATAGACAGTAAAAGAAACAACAAGCCCGAACTCCGAATGATCAGAGGATTAAATTTACAATAGGATTTCAGTCAACGAGAGCTGCAGGTTTTGTTAATATAGGAACAATTATTAATTCGAAATGTAAATTTGACATGAAGGACAGTGATTATTCAGTCAATGCTGTAAGTTACAGTGAATGATCAGTCTGTCTGCAGATGTGTAATAAACAACAATTTTTCATATTACGTATTTTTGTTTCTTAATTACCTTAATTATGGTCTTCAAAGTATGTGTTTGTACATTTTTATATGGCATTTAGTTGTTTTTTTTTATTAAAACAAATTAACCATTGACATCTAAAACTGAAAATCAAATATAGTCTCCAAAGTATGGGTTTTCAAATTTTTATTTATGGCAATTTTTTTTTTTTAAATTACAACCAATTTGTATGATTTACAACATGTAAAACTGAAACACCAACCTCCTGCACGAGTGCACAAAGGGGCTCAAAATGTTCATCACAAGAATCAGTAAATTTACAGTTGGGAATCTGAGCGACTGACATGACTCCTGAGCGGATCTTCAACAATAGTTTAGCAGCCAGGACTCGGGGCTTCCGAACACCGCGAACACCAGGCTAAAGTCCAAAATGTCACGGTCATTGTGCACGAGCTGCCCAGCACAAACTTCCAACCTTTCTGCCTCCTTCACTTGGTCCTCCGTTG